CTCGCCCGTCGGGCTCGCGCCCTGCTCTACAACGCCGAGTGCTTCGCGGTGTGCTTCCGAGTGGACGAGGGCTGCCTCGTGCCGGGGCTGCGCGTCAGTCCCGACCGCGGTTGCATCCGGCCCCGTGGCGTCGTCATACTGACCGTGAGAGGCCTCGGCCGCAGCCCAGCTCGCGCGATCCAACGCTGCGCGATTTCACAGGTGCGCCTGCAGTTGGACGCGTGCATCGAAGGCTACGCGCAGGTCGGCATCCGGCTGCAGAAGCGGCTGACGCTGCACTGGCGCCTGCGCTTCGCCGTGGTCTTCCCGGCGATCAGGTTCGAGCCGAGCGTGATCGAGTGGGGCCGGCTGAGCGCCGGCTCGCATCGGGTGCAGCAGCTGTCGGCGACCAACCTGAGCGACGCCGAGATCGTCGTCAAGTTCCTGCTCGAGGGCCAGCGCGAGCTGCGCGTGTCACGCGGGCCGCTCGCAAGCGACGTGACGCTCCGGCGTGAGAGGACGTCCGCGACAACCGAGGCGACGCGGCGTTCATTCGCAATCTGCTCTCGTGCAGAAGGAGACGAGCTGTTCCGCATCGAGCCAAGGTCTACGACGCGGCTGTTCCTGCACTTCGCGCCTTGCGACGTGGCTCGCCATTGCCGCCACCTGCCGCTCGTGCTGAACGATCTGCTCGGGCCGCTGGGCGACGGGCCCGAGATCGATCTCGGCCCGAGCCAGTTCTTGAGGAGCGATCACGATCAGCGCTATTCGGGCGTCGAGGAGCTGACGTTGCTGCCTATGCCAGCTAGCTTGCCGACGATCTTCGTCAGTGCCACGGTGACGCCGCCGATCGTCGACTTCAACAAGCTTCGGTTTCATTTTACCGAGAGCTTTCGCCGAGTGAGTTGGTCCGAGCCGTGGCTGCTCCTCTCCCGCTCAGTCCCCCCTTCGAATCCGGCAGGACGAGTGGCAGTGCCGCAATCGTTCGGCGAATACGGTCACCTTGGCACTGCATACCAAGCCCTGCTCCGGAGCCAGCGACTTTCCGTTCGCCTTCTGCTGGGCATCCGGAGCAAAGCCGATGGTCGACGACGGCCGCCTCACAGTCGCCCTCGGGCCCGAACAGCAAGTCCGTTTGCGAATAGCGTTCGACCCGAAGCAGCCGGGACATTTCGCGTTCGAACTGCCGGTCAACCTTGACCACGAAGGCACCGAGCAGACGTACAACAAGCTGACACTCGTTGGAAGGCAGGCCAAGCCATCGATAGACAGCGACGTTTTGCAGGTGAACTTGGGGCCGCTGCCGCTGAACACTCCGTGCACACAGACATTCAGCCTGCAAGCTCGTAACTTCACCGAAACGAGCTTCTTGTGCTGGAAGGTTTGCTACCTCGAGCAAGGGAGCCCCCCGCCCAGCGAATCGCTTCACGGTCAAGGGCTGAGCGTGTGCTTTCCCCGCGGCAACGCGGTCAAGCCCTACTGCACGTAAGTATACGCAGCGATGCAGCAATCGATCGTAGTGTCTTGACACTTGCTCATTCCAAGCTCCCTCTCTCCAGTCATCGTGTGCCAGTGGAAGTCCAGTTTGCGAGCGCAGTGCCGATATCCCTTCGCGTGACCCTGCTCTTCTCCGACCAAGGCAGTAGCGCGACTGTTTCGCTGATCATCTGTGCGATGGCCGACAATAGTTTACTCTCGATGCACAACTACGACGACGAATCTTGCCGGAACTTCTTACTGCTTAGAGGACGGACGAGCGACAGAAGTGTCGACGTGAATGCGCCCGGCCAGACTGACGATTCTCCGGACAGCGTTAGAAAAGCCTCCTGACGCAAACTAAATTTCACTAGCGCTACGTGGCAGCTGCAAGCTTAACGCGAAAATGCCAATGTGTATCGCAGGTGGCGGACAGCGCGGACTCTCGCTTGGATGCAACTGACGGGTGCGAGTGTAGCGAGCGCGCTTACGTTTCGGTAGACGCCAGGACTGCGCGGTACGTAACTCGTCGTGAGACCGATCCGACCTGCCGCACACAGTACACGCATGTGCGCACTGCCTTCGAACAGCAGTAGGCGGAGCTGCTCGCAGGCCGTGGTCAAGACCGTCGAGCGCTGGTTGTACGACGAGGTGCTCATGTACGAGTTCAATCCCCGACTGTTCGACGGCGCGAGCTTGACTCTACTCAAGTCCAAGCTGCTCGAGAAGATGCCGAAGAACGATCAGAACAAGGGACGGCCCAAACTGTGCACCTTCCTTGACATCCTTATGCGCCTCGCCGACGATGGGCTATTGCAGTTCGAAAGGCAGTACGCACTGGAGATAATATCACAATGAGGAAGAGATTGACCGGCACGCGTCCATTGCTGACAGGCGCGCCGGAGCAGACACGAGCGGTCAGAACGAGAGTCGGGACGAGAGTGAGAAGAGTGACGATAGCGACGAGAGCGACGAGAGACGAGGCATCGTCGAGGCCTGCAGCGTCTGCCGGCAAATCTTCGCGTTCCTACTTGGAAAGGGCGCATTGGTCAGCCACTTAGCAGCCGAGCACTTGCTCAATTACGAGGAATACGAGGTAAGGCGGACAAGCAAGAGACGCTACTGCGGTTTGACCGAGCGACTTTTCGGTTGTCAGGTCCTGATGAGGAACGATCGCCAGCTGCTGGACAGAGACTCCTTCGGATTCTGCTCCGAAGGCGCCTGGCTCGATCTGCTCTTGCAAAGCTACAAAGTGTTCGCCCTGGAACAGCAGGTGAACGAGCAGGCTCTGGCCAGGCACGCGCGCTTGCTGAGCCACGCCAAAAGTCTCGACAGGTAGGTTCGGCGCGGCGTTCGCCGGACCAGCCGCTCGAAGCTCGCTCGCGTTTAGCTCGACGGACGCGCGCTACGTTATGGACGTGATGAAAGTCGCCGAGCGCTCGCAGATGCTGGCCCGACAACTGCACCAAAGCGAAGCTCTGCTCTTGGCCTGGCTCGAGTTCAACTGCGCTCTGCACTTCGAGGCTCGGCCCATCGACCACTTTGGCCAATGCCTGAGCGACGGCTTGGCCTTCGCTGCCGTTAGCCTTAACTATTGCCCCTTTCTGCGCGACTGCTTCGAGCAGCTCTTCCGCCAGCCCGTGGGTGACGAGCAGGTGAGCGCCACAGCCTCAACGTGCCGTGTGCTGTTGGACGTCGCGAGCTCTGTCGTTCGCCTCCTTGCGCAGAAACTTCATAACGCCGTGTGCCTGCTGTTGGCTTGGAAGCGAATCCGACTCGGTTTCACCATCGTGCCCGCGGACATAGTTCGCGCGAACGCCATCCAGATGCTCATGTTGTCGTGTCACCTATTCACGCGCATGCCTACCTATCTGGCCAGAAGCAAGGTTCTCCGACACTCGCTATCTGCGACACTGTGACTCTGCGGCCTTGGCTCACGCCTGCCTGTTCTCCGCAGCTGACCCTTGCCTGCCCGCTCACTACATCCACTTCTGCGCAAATCCGATTGCCCATCGACTTCCGTCGTCGAACTAGTTACGTCGTGCAGCTCCTCTGCAATGATTTCGCCGCTTTCAGCTCCAAGGTCGCTCTACTGTCCATTCAACCTCCTCAAAATCAGCAGATCACGGTCGATTTTCTCGCGCGCAAAATCTGCAAAGCCACAGGCAATCAGCCAGAGCTCTTCCACGGCTTGATTCTCTTCCTCGCCTTACTTGCTTCTCCTCCCCCCACTCTTTATATTTGCAGCTTACTTGGTACTTTGTGGTTCAGCGGTAACATCTTGTTTTGGCGAAAATATGGTGTTCTTCTTGGAAGGCTTTCCCAACCAACTCTCAATTTCCCAAAGTTTTACATTTTCAACGACGTTGTACCAAACTGTAAAAAGGCATTTGACTATCGATGCGCCCTATGAGTATCCGAAACAGTATGAAATTTGGATATCTCGGGAACGACCTAGTACTATCGGTACTACTTGACATGCTATGTTCTACCTTTGAACCATCGCATCGACTTATCTGTTCATTTTTCAGATCAACTGGTGATGACCAAATGGCAAAATACACACTCGTTAAAGCAGGCTGTAAACCGTTTGTCGTTTGACAATGCAAACGTTTCGATGGAAGAAGACTCACAAGTCCTCAATGTCGCTGTTTCGCTGTCCTGCTTCACGTGCGAATCGCAAATGTTTTGGATTATTTTTCGATCGGACTCAGTCGATTTTATCGCTCAGGTTTGCTTGGTGCTACAATTTATAATTTACAAACAACTACTAAATATTTGATTGCAGATTGTTTCTAATTATCGAATTGCCATTACTGACAATGTCACGATCAAGTCTACCCAAGAACCATGCATTTGCCCACAGTTTCCTTTGCGTATTGATCATAAATGTCCGCTTGTACATAAATTATTGTTGCCTTCAGCTAATATGCAGTTACACAGCTGCATTCTGCAGTTATTCAAGAACTCATTATCCGAACAAGACAAGGATTTTTGGACAGCGTATTTAGGTAAATCTGGGGAGTTGACGTGTAAAGACACCCAAGTAGATTAACGTAAATATTTGATTAATTTAATAGACAATGAACTTGGAATACATTTTGCCAAGTGGTTCTTAAGAAATTCTTCATGCTCTTCGGTCGATGTATTCGATTTCGCGCAAATATACAATATTACAACTGATGAACGTAGTTTACTGGTACAACAGCCAGGCAGTGTTAACGGTTTGTCACGCACAACTGCTCCGAAATCCAATTGGATTTGCTTCCACCACTGACAGAGTAATTTTGGTATTGCAGATGGCAACGGAAACGATCAAACTGAATTGATGATTCACATTTGTGGGAACTCAGTTAAAAATACTTTAATTACGCTAACTTCCTGTAACAAAAAACAAGTAAGACTATGCCAAGTAAATATTTATAGCGAGGAATCGAATACCTCATCTTTGCAGTCAACAAACTAAAAATAGCGAAGAAACGCGTCGAAGTAGCTTTTGATATCCATAAATTTATATTCAATAAAATACTCAAGATGTTTCATCAATTTGACTATAGTTTTTATTGGTAAAATGTTGATAAAATATGTACAGTATTTACAATATGAATCAATCACGCACAAAGGTAAATTATTACAAAGAACTAAGTTATGGAAATGGGAATAGTAATCATAAGAGTAGAGCAAATAATAATAATAAGATAAGAATAAATGCTAAGAAAAAGAGGCAGTTAAAAGGGGTAGAGCAGGAGGGCCGTTATTAATCGGAATCAGAAGCTGAGCTGGCGTCCGAGTCATACTCGCCGACATTGATGGTGAACTTGTACTCCTGGTCGCAACCCAAGTAGGCGTCGCTCATAAAGTAGAGGGTATAGTTATGCTGACCGGGCTGGGGAGCAAGGAAGTCGAGCTTGACGGTGGCTTTCTGCTGGAGAGTGAGCCGCTTTATTGAAAGCAGCTGATTGGTCTTGGGATCGCCGATGACCACCCACCAGCCTTCCTCACGCTTCTGCGGGAAGAATGGCGCAACCACCGGGCCGGCCACCTCGTCCTCACGCTCCAACTCCACTTGCACATTAACTGAGCGCCCGTGGCGGATACGCTCCCGGTTTTTCACCTCGTATGACATCTCAATGTTGGGGTAGCGGTTGCAGAACTTGGCCACGTCGGCCATCTGCTGGTCGCTGAGCTGCAGCAGCCGGTTACGCACGTCATCTTCAAGCTCCATTATGTCGAAAACTGTTTCAACACCCTTGTCGGTGCAGCGCTTAATAACCTCCGCCGTAAAGTGGGGCAGCTGCTTGAGATACGAATCCTTAGACCACATGGCCTGGGTGACCATCTGGGCGAGCTCCATGGCGGCGACCGCCGGGGCCAGCCAGCCGCTCGAGCTTAGCACGTCCACGCAGGCCTGGATCAAGCGGATACTCTTGCCGAGCACTAACTCCGTGTCTTTCTGCAGTTCTGGGCCGAGCTGCACACGCGACAGATGGGCCTGTAGCAGCAGCTGGGCCTTCACATGGGGCTCGGCCAAGCGCTGCACCTGAGGCGCGTGCGGCAGCCGCGCGGCTAGGCTACGCAGCAGATTTTCCTCACGCTGGCGCACCGGTATACCTTCGTACTCTGCAGCCGACGAAATGATCTCCAGCAGACCACGAATTTTAGTCTTGGCGTTGAGCGAACCGTCGAACATCTCGACCGTGGCATAGTTAATGTAGTAGTACGCGGCAATCATGCCCAAGTTCAGCGGGGTGACATCCATCTCATCCTCGATAGTGATGCACTTGGCCTGTTCCATCTCATTGAGTGTGCTTTCGACCAGCTCAGACAGATGGTCAGAGAGGTGACGATGCGTCACGCCCTGCAACCCATAATAGTTAGGGTTTTGCGTGAGCCGCCGATAAAGAAAACTCCAGGTCAGGTAGTCCACGGCGTCCTGCTTGTTCTCGATAGTCTTCGTGACGATCTCTGCGTTGAAATGATCGTGCAGCCGGTGGTCCAGGTGGCTCTCCACTGGGAGCGGCTCGTTCAGGAACTTCTTAAAGAAGTCCTTCTTGGAACTCTGGCATAGCAATACGCACTTGGCGTCATCGTCCTCCTGCGGCCGATTCGCCCGCGAGATCATTTGCAGCACCTCGGTGATCGGATAGTCCTCGTAAGCATGGCTCTTGCCGTTGTAGCATTCCGTATCCATGATGACCACCAGGTGCGACTGCACACTCAAGCTCCAACAGAGGTCACGCGTCGCCACCGCGATCTGTACGGCGCCACTGTCAAACAGTTCCTCGACAAGACGCCGATCTCCCGAGGACAGGCCTTCGTGTAGATAGCCCACGCCCTGGCTCAGCGTCTCCTTCAGTGTGGTGTCCTGCAGTCGCGCCAGGAACGGTGCCACGTCCGACTCGTCCGCGTGGAAGAATTGCGACGGTTTGCCTTCGGCCGCGGCAAATGTCAGAATGTCAAAGGCTGTTAGTCGAGCTTGCTTACGCGTCGGCACGAACACAATCACCGGCTTCCTGATGGCATGACGCAGGATAGCGTTATACGTCGGCTTGGCCATTGCCGCTAGCCGCGAGGCGTTGTGAGTGATGTTGATGCCTTGTACGTGCAGCTCCAGCGGCACCGGCCGTACCGATGGGTGAAAGTTAAAGCTGTTAGACGCCGGGGCGCCCAACCACTGAGCCACGTCCTTGGCGTCAGCCAGCGATGCCGATAGCGCCACGATCCGCGTCGGCTTGTCCAACTGCGACGATATGTACCTGCAACGAATAAAGTCGTGTTGTTAGTGTCGAGCCTACAGACTTCATTGCGTCACGACTCACCGAGTTCTGGAGCAAGCTACTTCCAGGACAGGTCCTTCTTCTCCTCCGATTAGCTGCAGCTCGTCAACGATGAACAGTTGAATATTTTGAACATTCTTGCGCTGTTTCCAACGACGCGAAAGTATGTCCCACTTTTCCGCAGTGGTAACTATGATCTGGCCCTTGGCTAGGAGCTTGAGATCGGTACCGGTCTCGCCTGTCAACTGGACTACCTTCTTTCCCAAAACTTTACCGAACTTTTGCGACCAGTGAGTGTAGACAATCTCGGCTAGCGCCTCCTTGCTGACCATGTAAACGCACCGACCTTCAGGATTGTGTGACATCAAGCGCAACACCGCGAACTCTGCTATAGTAGTTTTGCCTGAGCCGCTGGGTGCGCCTACAAATACGTTGTCGTCGGAATTGTATACCGCATTGAATACCTGTGAAAAGCGCAAATAACAATTACCAGTCAGCGAGCATATTCCTAATGAAATTTTTGTGTTTCTCTGAAAACGGTAGTTTTAACGCACCTGAGTCTGAATAGGATTGAACTGTGGAAATTTGTCGATGTAGAGGCTTTCGAAAAGATCGTTTCGTAGAGCAGTGATCGGCAACGGTTGCAGATCTAGCAACTCCGTGGGCGGTAAGTTTTTTTCAGGTAGTATCAGATGCCTGAAACTCACGGGCAATTGGGTTTCGGCCCCAATCCATTGATCTGACACAACTCGCAGGAAGTAGTGCGGTGACAGTGGCTCGAAGACCGGCACAAAGAACTTGATGAGGTGATCTTCTTTGGCATATTTTGCCTGTCAATGAGAAAAGGGTTGGATCAGATTATCCGACAATGACGCAACAGCATGGTTTAAAAGTTAGTGCGGGCTTACCTTAAGCAAAAAGTACTCATGATGCAGAATAATTTCTGAATCAACGTCCTCGATGAGGATCCAAAAAGCCTGCGAAGCGCCATGAACCTTCTCGTCCCACATGAAGTCAGGTGTGATCGTGAGCTCAACCCTGAGCGTGGATCTAGTGATGGGCTGGATGTGGGTGGAGAGCTCGAGCTTGGGGAACTGGTGAACGTACTTGTGAATAGTCTTGCCGAGCTTGGGCACGCGTATAAGTTCGCCGATTTCGTTAGGCCCGAGGTCGTAGAAGCGCTCCCAAGGGAAGTACTTCTTCTCAATTTTCTTAACAATCTCGAGGGGCATCTTGCGGAATTGACGCAGGGGTGACATGGACTGCCACATACGATGGTTGATCATCTTGCAGAGCGACAGGCATTTATCGGCCAGCTGGGCCCAACCGCGGTACAGCACGATCTCGAAGATTGCGCGCATGAGCCGAGCGGCAGACTGGGTGACATAGATCATGTCGGACATGAGGGCGAAGCCCTCGAGTTTAAGTTGCGATATATAGGCCTGCAGCAGCACATTGACTTTAGCGCTGGGCTCTTCCATGCTTTCCTTGATGGGTATAGGCACGCGCTCCATCAGCTTCTGCAGCTCAAGCTTCTCTTCGTCACGCACGTTAATGTTTTTGAACTCGCTCGACAGTGAAAACACGCGAAACAGATCGATCTCGCTAAGAGTGCGCTTCAGCAGCTGGTTATACGTTGAGATGGTTTCGTGCGTGCAGTAGTAGTGAGAAGCAATGCGCCCGAGCTCGGTGGCCTGGAAGTTGCCAGTCTTTCGATCATATTTCATTAAACCACTGCGGTCCAGGCACATTGCCGCCGAGTGCACCAGATCGGCGCGGTGTAACTCTAGCAGCATATCCTCACTGGTCTTATCATGGCCAATGCCGTACAGGCTTGGATTACGCATCATGCGAATGTATAAGTAGGTATAACCCAGCCACGTCACCGCGTCGCGCACGTTCTGGATCGTGCCCAGCACCACCTCAGCGTTCAGCATATCAGGCAGCTTGCTAATCATCTGCGACTCGATGGGTAGTTGCTGGTTTAGTAGTGACAAGTAATACTGTAGTTCGCTGTGGTTTGTTATTAAGATACCTGCAAACGGGATCATTACGTCGATTAACTGACGAGTTCGTCACCTACGTCTTTAATTTCACGACAAAAAAAATGTATCACTCACCTTCTCCCTTGGTGTCGTATTGTGGACGACCAGCACGACCTAACATTTGGAGTACGTCCAGCGCACCTAATTCTACCCAGCGTCCCTTTTCTGGGTCATATATTTGCGTTCCTTTGATTATGACAGTGTGAGCAGGTAAGTTGACACCCCAGGCTAGCGTTGCAGTTGATACGAGCACTTGAATATGTCTGTCGGCAAATAGATCCTCTACCAAGGTACGATCGACTCTAGTCATACCGGCGTGGTGAATAGCGAAACCATATGGCAACAGATCTTTCAGTTCTAAATTTTTCACTTGCTCGGCTTCGCTTCGAAGCACCTCCATCGATGCTGAACCTTCTCTCAGAAACTGCCCGAGAGTGTCTTTTTCTAGACACATATCTCTGATGGCTCGCGCAGTCTTGCCTGTTTCCTTCCTCGAGTGGACAAAGATCAAAATTTGATTTTTACCTGCGTGCTCCATCGTCTTTTCATAGACAACCTCATTCATTACTTGAAAGCGCTTCAGAGCCTTCTTCTCTGTCACGCCAATATATTGTTGTTCCAATGCCACAGGCCTGTTATTACAATTATAAATATTAAATGGCGATCACTGATATTACTAATAAATAATATTATATTGTAAAGCGTACCTAAAACTGTTGTCGAAGTAAAACAAACCGCTCTCAGGCTTCACGCGTAAAAATGTTGCAACATCTTGATAATTCGGAAGGGTAGCGGACAGACCAACTAATCTAACGTCTTCTTGCGTTGTTTCTATGTTTCGCAAAGTCCTTGCGACCAGCGACTCCAGAACTGGACCTCGCTCATCGTGAAGTAAGTGAATTTCGTCAATAATTATAAGTCTAACAAGTGTGGTAAATGTTCTTTCGCCTCCTTTTCTTGTGATAATATCCCACTTTTCAGGAGTGCATACAATAACCTTTTGAAAAAACAGATTCAATAGGTGACAATACATTCTTTCATGTATAATTATAGAACTACATCAAAATATTAAAATAAAATGTCACCTGGGAAGCGGCTATTTGTTCTCGAGTAAGTTGATGATCACCCGTCAATTCTGAAACCGTCAAATTGTAGGAAGCCAGTCTTTTTCCAAAATTACCAACCATTTCTTGTACAAGAGAACGCATTGGTGCAATATAAATAATTTTGAAGTCATCAGCATTTATTGTGCCGTCGTCGTTTATGTGCTTGCCGATTTCTCGCATCATACACAATAAAGCTACATTAGTTTTACCAGCTCCTGTAGGTGCGCACAATAATAAATTTTCATCCTTTTCTAAAGCACACTTTTGCAAACGACTTTGAATTCTATTGAGGGTCTTGAAACCATCAAATACTGGCTGAACAAACTTTGGTAGGTCACTTATAGAAACAAGTTTTTCGTTATCTCCAAATGGCTTTGGTTTTAAGGCTGGAACATGAACTTCTTCATACCTAAGAATATTTAATTATAATATTGATTTTTGTGTTATTGTCAATATTCTTCTGTGCACATAGCGTCAAAGATTTAAAAAATAAAAACTAATAAGTACTTACCCTTTTCGCTGTTTTCTAAAACTGCCGTCAGGCAAATGACATCTTTTGTTCGGCATAAAATGACTTCCTTGTGCAAATGTCAAATCTTCTAAGTCGATCATTTTTCTAGTTCCTTGTACTAATCCTCCAGGTCCACCTGTATCTTCATTTTCTTCTCTCCTTTTACGTTGAACTCTTGCCTCCATTGTTTCATCAGCATCATCTTCACCTTTTCCCGTTTCTAGTTGGTGCAATATTCTTGTTAGAGCTGGATCTTCACCCATTTTCTTCCTGATTGCCTGACGTTCAGATTCTGATTGAGATGCAGCCAACATAGTGCAGTAAGCAACTGAAATGTACATTTCAAATCATTACCGCGTTTATTCATCTATCGCTATCGAAAATTATTAGAAGAGCAAAGTTTATGTTTTGAAAATTAATAAAGAAATTTAACTTTCCAACTTACTCATAAGCCTGTACTTTTTGAGTTGCTTAATGAAATCAAAGCAATCATAACCAAGAGCAAGGACAAGCTGATTTTCACATTCACGATCGTCTGCTGGACTTTTTAATATGTTCAATACATCTCCTGCTTTAGAATGAGAAAGCATAGCATCATCAAAGTGAGATTTCAATTGTCTCTGCAACCAGTAAGCATCAATATCCCTTGGATGCAAAGATTTTTCTTTTTTCATTTCTTCCGCTCTACCCAACTAAAATTATAAATTTATAAATTTTATAGCATCACAGCAATATTGCAATGTTTTCTGAATATTTTAAAACAATATATAAAAATAATTTAGATACATATTACACGCATATTGTATGTTATATTTCTCAATTTTCATTTTTTATATAATTTTTATACATTTTTTATATAAGAATGTAATGTAATTATAACTTACATTTTCAGCATGAATTGCTCTATCATCATTTGCTTCTTCCCCTTCCTCTCCATCTTCCTCATTTTCTCTAACTTCTCCATAAACATCTTCATCATCTTCTTCACTACTCTCTTCAAATTGAACATTTATCCCATATGTTTCATCAATGTTTTCTTCTCCTGTGTTATTTTTTTCATCACTTCCAAAGTCAGTTATTTTTTTCCCCAAATTGACAAGCAATGCAAACCTTTCTTCAGCTAAGGATCCTAGTAGTTGCTCAGTTTCCTTCTTCTTCTCTTTTTCTTTCAATTTATCATTTTTCAAAACTGCCAAAACTTCATCAGCTGCTCCACAAAGTATATCTCGCGGCTGATCACCAATAGCCTCTTGAATAAAACTTAACAAAACTTCATAGGTTTGACGAGTTTCTTGAGTTTTGGGTCTGTATACTATACCAGCTATTTCATCAACTCCATCAGAGAGTACAGTAGCTCCTTTATTGTACGTGAAATCGTGTTGGGCTTCATCACGTTTCTGACGTCTAAAAATAAAGTAATTCAATTATATTTTTAAAACTAAAATCTTTTATTAAACTCATAGAATTAAGAGGCTGGTTCACTTGTTTATGCATTGCGAATAATATTAAAAGTTCATGAAACAGTTTAATTACAGTAAAAAATAAAGAAAAATTAATATCACATCCTGTTTCTAATCAATAATCTAATCTCGTATTAATAGAAGGATTTTGCGCTCTATTATCCAAAGATATTAATAAATATAACTAGTGATATTGTAACACTGACTTAGTAAGTATTTTACTTACTTCGCTTTTCTCTCTTCAGCTTTACCAGGCTTCGTTCTCCTAGCTTTGTCACCCATTCTAGTTCCATCCAACTTGCCCACAAGAGACATAACTTCGCCTGTGGCTTCATCTCTGCTTCGCCTTTCTATTAATCGTACGTCTGCTTGTAAAACGAGATTGGAGTTCTGAAATTAATAAAACCAAAATGAGCTATGTAAATATGCTTTGTTGATTAACAATTAACGTATCCCAACACATAACCTCAACATACTGCAACGTTTAAAACTATTTGTACAGTGACAGTGCGAAAAATAATTGTTTATACGCAAAATTGGAAAATAGATTATTATAAAGGTTTTGATTATCTAAATTGATGGTATTTTTATTACTTACCGCTTTATATTCGTATTGTAGCTGACGAGCCGCTGCGTCCGCCATGATGTTTGGCGTACCTTATTGGCGCATTTGATGTGGTTTCCGGTTAATAGCCGATAGTTGCTAGAGTATAGATTTGCCTTGAGAGTTTCGGATATAAAATTGGAATGAGACAAATGGAGAACTATGGACGTGTTTAATTTAGCTGTTTCGTACTATAGTAGGGCGCGTCCGATTAAAAACTGCACTCGTACCGAACCGTACTGGATTGCTCTGTGCTCACTTCCCATATAAATCAATGCACAAGAAATGAAGAATGGGACTGAGCGTTCCACTCAATCTCTTGATCCTTATCCATTGGTTTATATGCAGGAATATGGTACGGTACGAACGACCGCATAAATTAATTGTGTTAGGGGTACGAAATTAGCATCTACCAGGGGTGCTGAAAAATTTTTTTCAGGGTCCCTAGATTTGTTTCATTTAATATAATCATAATGCAAATTTCTAGGAACCCTGTAAAAAAATTTTTCAGCGGCAACGTTACTACGAGGCCTGTATCCTGCATACACTATGCACACACACACAAAAGGTGTTTATAGAGCTACTCTGGCACACAAAATGACACGAGTTCTGCGACATATGATCTACGCATATAACGATGTTTTTAAGTTTAAAAATGCTCGATATGTGTAATTAGCATCTTAATAACACAAAAATTCTATAATCTTTCTAATTTTTTTTATCTTGAAAAAAAATGATGAATCACCGATATCCAGCGTCGTGATTGGTTAATGCTAAAAGGAAAATGGAAATATGCCGTTAAAAAAATGTTTTAAAAAGATAAGAAGTAACTTTTTGAAATTACGCTTGAAACATAGTATGAATTGATAATATATGATTACTATATCTCACGATATATATTTAGGAACTTCATTAATAAAATATTTTATGTAATATTTCTTAAATATTTTAGAAATTTTTAACTGCAGTATTAATTGATGACTATGAAAACATTCTCTACACGTTTCTCCAAACCTTACAAAAACATCGCAATAGAACTATTTCATGAAAATATGCCACTGAAAATAAATATACAAATTTTGTATAGATTGCGTACAAAATATTGTACAAGAATATATATAACATTTTTTAGAAATCTTGTAGAATAATTGGATAAAATTTGTACCTAATTTATTATAACTCTTATATAAGTTTTTTATAAATTCTATATAACATTTGCACGAAATTTGTATAAATTTTATACTCAATAACCGACTTGTCCTTGGAATTTGAATGTACAATAAATAGTACACGCATATTATAGATAAAATAATGTAGACAGCTTTCATAATAAATAAAAAAATTAAAAATTAAAAAAAATAAAAGAAAATTATCAATCTGACCGAGACCTTCATAATAGTAGATTTGTACTTTATAACACTTTGGTACTGATGGCTGTTACGATACATGTTATTTTTTATTCTGTATTACATACAATTAGAAAACATTTTATGAATTATTGGATCGTATTCAATGGATTGTATTTTTACTGGTAATATCGATGTATTTAAATTTAACAAATAAATATACATAAACAAAAAGAAACGCTCCCGTGTGTGTGCGTATTTGTGTGTGTGTTGTTAATTTCAAATTCATTACTATTATCAGCTAATATATAACTCATTAAATATGATTGAATAATTGAACAATTTTCAGATCAAATGTAAAATAAATTATAAACAGTAAGTATCCTAACATTCATCGGTGGCACAGGATAATGTAAAAATTTGGCAATATGTAGGTCTCGGCTTCAAGTCTCGATCAGGTTGATTATTGTCTTGTATTTTGGTTTCATTTTTCATATATAGTTTATTTTTTATAGAAGCTGCCCACGTTATTTTATTATTTTCATAATATACGTGTATTATTTATTCATTCAATTTTTAGGAAAAAGTCGAACAATGAATACAAAATTTGAACCAATTTCTTGTAAATTTGTTATAGATCCCCCCCCCCCCCCCACACACACAACACCTTTCAAGAAAGGTAAACTTCTGCAGGCGAGTAGGCATGATAATCATACAATTTTTTACTATACTCCAACTTGTCTTTCAATAGTTTTGCATGCTATCTTGGTTTCTTTAAATAATTTTATTCCAGCCTTTTTTATTGAATAAATGCTGTAATCATAAGAACAATCAAATTCATAGCTACTTGTTTATGTTTTTTATCAAAAATATATATTATACTTGATTAACACTACTTATTATAGCTGCAACGTCAAATAACTATACTGAAAAAATATATATATGTTATTTTGTACCTGCAATGAACTAGAGAATAATGTAAAATCACTCATCTAAATTAGACGAGTGGATTGGTACGATTAATAAGTAACTGTTATACATATTGTATATAATACAGTATATATATAAGATTAATTATATAATGGTAGTAAATTCTACTGTCAATGTTATTGCTTTTGAATAATAGAAAAAAATGTAAGGTACATAAATAGTTTTATCCGTGTTGCATCATCGCTTATGTCGCTTATTTCTAAGATATTGTACTTTCGTTCAATTTCGTTTTTTAACATTAACAACATCATGCATTTAAACGTTTCCGATGGTGGAAACAAAGTTCGAATAAGCTTCATAAGACTATACTCGTTGGGCCCGTTGTTATGATTAATTAATATTATTAATAACATATTTGACTAACATTGTTAATTTTTTATAAAATATAATGTAAAGACTAATCGTATTTTCAAAGACTTATTTTATATATTTTGAGCTAGGAATTTCGCGGAAGAAAAGTATATAGGCACCCTTAGCATACTTTGGCCATTGTTTTTTATTGACGTATAAATTAGCAACTTTAAGCCACTGATTATCCCGTTTGAGCATATTGCATTGTTTGAAGTCCCGCACGTAAAAATTCCATTTATAACCCTATAACGTCTATTATTAATATTTATTTTTGACCGTGGGACATCTTTCATTTTGATATTTGTAATATCCGATACTAGAAATTGTAGAATTAATAGTTTTTTGGGTACGAAACATCGACTCTTTGGTGAATTTTTTTATTACACCATTTGCACACAGCGCATCTGATTGTAACTAGTTACCCAAATTAATATTAATGATATTCTGTGAAGTTAATGCGATTGAAGATTTGGGTATACGAAGTTGTAATATATAATTATCATCAACTTATAACGAGTGTGAATGCTACTCGTTATGTCTCTCTCTCCCATGTTCTAATTTACTTATACAGGGTGTCCCATTTAAAAGGAACCACCCCGAAATTTTCTACGGTTAACGTTCTACAAAAAAATTGTCCAGACAAAAGTTATTTGGGACAATGGGACACCTTTCCGAGAAATCGGATTTGACCTTGAGATTTATTTTCAAGCTCATTTGAAGGTCAAGGTCATTTTTTGAATAGGAACCTATAATTTTGATCCCGGGTTCGGAAAGAGCGAGAAATTCTACGTTTAGATAAGGTATGTGTGGGGTGCGGTTAACCCCCCCCCCCCCCTCGGCATAAGATCATGTAAGGGTAAAATTTATCATTTTCTTCATCTATGTACAGGGATGATCGGGCAAGGTTAAGATTAATTGTATTAACCCAATAACTTGCTGGTAATATCTTGCCCCCCCCCACCCCTCCCAATCCAATAACTGGACGATAATATTTTGCTGCAGCACGATATCGGCCTTGACCGTCAAAATTACCCAGGGAGGCTTCGGTACCCAAACCACGTGAGAATCCGAATCATTGAACGAAGAGAGAGACGTTGACCACGAATATGCAGAAATCGTCGTCGCATTATGAGACAGAACAATGATGATCCACGAATTCCCGTTGTTTTAATAATGGTTGATTTGGATCATCATATCTCTTTGCGTGAAATTCAGAGACGTACTGGAATACCAAAAACAATAGCCGGTAGAATTTTGCGGCTCCATAGATTTCATCCGTATCACATAACTTTGACTCAAGCTTTGATGCCAGATGATCTCTGCCGCAGATTCGAATTCTGTAATTGGGCATGAGCAAGGATTCGTGAAGATCCTGAATTTTTCAGATACGTAATGTTTTCGGGCGAAGCTACATTTCATAGTAATAGGCAACTCAATCGCCAGAATAGTCATTATTGGTCTATCCAGAACGCTCATTGGGTACGTCATGTTGATAATCAGCATAGATGGAGCCTCGTAGTTTGGTGCGGTATAATAAATGGTTATCTGATAGGACCTTATTTTTTCGATGGGAATGTCAACGGCGCAGCATATCTTAATTTTCTGCAGAATGAATTACCAGAATTATTGGAAGATGTGGACTTGGAAACAAGACGACGATTATGGCTTCAACAGGACGGTACACCGTGTCATCGCTCACTAATAGTTCGTCACTTCTTGAACCAACGATACCGAAGACGATGGATAGGCATTGGTAGTGACATTTCTGAGTGGTGTCCAAGATCATCAGATCTAACAGATTTCTTTTTATGGGGCTATTTGAAAAGTGTTATTTATGCACAGCAACCAACAACACCGCAAGATATGATGCAACGCAACATACAAGCTTGTAGAGCTATTCCGTGTCACATTTTGTGCTCCAAACAAACAGTATCTATAGGTAATTTTTCTAAGTATTCACACAACGCATTTATTTTTTCTTTAAAATCAGCACCCGCTGCTGAGGGACCTGCCATTCGTGCGGAGCTACCTCGATGACTTGTTCGTGCGATCTTCTTCTCACGAGGAGCACCAACGGCACTTACGCTTTCTATTCGACCGACTAAGGCAAGCCGGTCTGTCCTACAAGCTGAAAAAATGCCAGCTGGGACTTCCACGCGTCACTGTCCTTGGATATGAGGTCTCTGCTGGCGGTATCAAGCCGCCAGAGAGGAAGGTCGTGGCCATACACGACTACGCTAAGCCCATGTCGCTCAGAGCCTTACGTGAAGGGCGACCCGGCCATATCACCACGCCATATCACCCCCAGTCGAATGGCATGGTGGAAAGGTTCCATCGCACTCTTAAAGCGGCATGAAGGTGCGCACCAACTCCTTGGCCTGAAGCTTTGCCGTTAGTGCTTCTTGGGCTGCGCAACCCTCTCAAAGAGGACCTGCAAGCGTCACCAGCGGAGATGACCTTCGGCACCACGTTTCGTCTTCTTGGCGACTTCATCTGCAACAATCCGCCTGCAGATCCTTGCTCCTTTATTGGTCGACAATGCGTGACCATGAGAGCC